ACTCGCACCCACTACGCCGGGGTACTCCACACCCGCAGGCGCACCCATACGCACCGCCCCTGGGCTTCGCACTCACCCAGGCTGGAGGCAGTGGCTACACGTGCGACGGCGACACCAGACGCGGCCATTCACCGCGGCCGGCCAGACAACTGCGCCTGCGCGGACGCTGTCCCGGGGTCCTCTGGGAAACTGCGACCTCAGACCGAGGCTGAGCAGACGCTCAAGGCCCCCGCCCATCAGCCACCTCCCGGCGTGCACCGCGCCCCGCCTCTTTAGTCCCTTTAATCTGCGCTGCCAGAACTTTGCAGGGCGAGGCGTGTGGATCACATCAGGTGAGGAGTTTGAGACCAGCCTGGCCAACATGGTGAAACCCCATCTCTACTAAAAAAATAAAATATTGAGCCGGGCGCGGTGGCTCAAACCTGTAATCCCAGCACTTTGGGAGGCCGAGGCGGGTGGATCACGAGGTCAAGAGATCGAGACCATCCTGGTCCACATGGTGAAACCCCCCTCTCTACTAAAAATACAAAAAATCAGCTGGGCATGGTGGCGCGTGCCTGTAATCCCAGCTACTCGGGAGGCTGAGGCGGGAGAATTGCCTGAACCCAGGAGGCGGAGGTTGCGGTGAGCCGAGATCGCGCCATTGCACTCCAGCCTGGGTAAGAAGAGCGAAATTCCGTCCCCAAAAAAAAAAATTATCTGTGTGTGGTGGTGCACGCCTGTAATCCCAGCTATGCGGGAGACTAAGACAGGAGAATCGCTTTAACCTGGGAGGCGGAGGTTGCAGTGAGCCGAGATGGAGCCACAGCACTACAGCCTGGGCGACAGAGCAAGGCATTGACTCATAAATAGGCCGGGCGCGGTGGCTCACGCCTCGTAATCCCAGGATTTTGGGAGGCCAAGGCGGGTGGATCACGAGGTCAAGAGATCGGGACCATTCTGGCCAACATGGTGAAACTCTGTCTATATTAAAAATACAAAAATTGGCCGGGCGCGGTGGCTTAAGCCTGTAATCCCAGCACTTTGGGAGGCCGAGGCGGGTGGATCACGAGGTCAGGAGATCGAGACCATCCTGCTCAACATGGTGAAACCCCGTCTCTACTAAAAATACAAAAAACTAGCTGGGCGTGGTGGCGCGTGCCTGTAATCCTAGCTACTCAGGAGGCTGAGGCAGGAGAATTGCCTGAACCCAGGAGGCGGAGGTTGCGGTGAGCCGAGATCGCGCCATTGCACTCCAGCCTGGGCAACAAGAGCGAAACTCCGTCTCAAAAAAAAAAAAAAAAAATACAAAAATTAGCCGAGGTTGGTGGTGCGTGCCTGTAGTTCCAGCTACTTGGGAGGCTGAGGCAGGAGAATCACTTCAACCAGGGAGACAGAGGTTGCCATGAGCCAAGATCACATTATGTACTGTAGCCTGGCGACACAGTGAGACTCCATCTCAAAAAAATAATAAATAAAAATAATTAAAAATAAAATACAGAAAAGTCAGGTGTAATGGTGTGCACCTGTAGTGCCAGCTACTTCGGACGCCGAGGCAGGAGAATCACTTGAACCTAGAGCTTGCAGTGAGCCAAGGATCAAGCCACTGTACTTCAGCCTGGGCAACAGAGCGAGACTCAGTATCAAAAAATAAAAGAAAGGCTGAGAGCAGTAGTTCACACCTGTAATCCCAGCAATTTGGGAGACCAAGTTGGGTGGATGAGGTCATGAGTTTTAAGACCAGCCTGACCAACATGGTGAAACCCATCTCTCCTAAAAATACAAAAAATTAGCTAGCCATGGTGGTGCATACCTGTATCCCAGCTACTTAGGAGGGTGAGGCAGGATAACTGCTTGAACCCAGGAGATGGAGGTTGCAGTGAGCCGAGATCGTGCCATTCCACTGCAGCCTGGGTAACAAGAGCAAAAAAACTGTCTCAAGAAAAAAAAAAGAAAGAAAATGTAGGCTTAGTGGTCACTGCCACCGCTCAACATCAACAATGCCATGCATATGCATTCTTGGCTGCAACATTAAAACTGTCAGGATCGGGTGAGGAAACAGGTACAATTAAGGAACAAGATGCTTATTACAGAAATTATGTAAATATAAGAAGAGCTGGAGATAAAGTGAAGCGAGATCACTAAATGCAGTAACCTGGCATGGCCTGATGAAAACCACAGAGGTGGCCGGGTGCGGTGGCTCAAGCCTGTAATCCCAGCACTTTGGGAGGCCGAGGCGGGTGGATCACGAGGTCAAGAGATCAAGACCACCCTAGTCAACAAGGTGAAACCCCATCTCTACTAAAAATACAAAAAGTTAGCTGGGCATGGTGGCAGGTGCCTGTAATCCCAGCTAGGAGGCTGAGACAGGAGAATTGCCTGAACCCAGGAGGCGGAGGTTGCGGTGAGCCGAGATCACGCCATTGCACTCCAGCCTGGGTAACAAGAGCAAAACTCCGTTTCAAAAAAAAAAAAAAAAAAAAAAAGAAAACCACAGAGGTACGGTGAAATCAAAGGACCCCTGTGTACCTAAATAGTAAAGAGGGTCCCTGGTGGGGATGCTTGTGGAAAAGTCTGTCGAGTGAGCTAAGAGGAAACTAAAGTCAAATGTCATGTTGGCTTTCGGGCTGTTGTAGACTAGCAGAGCCAGAAGTCAGAATAATGTGTTGCGGCCAGATGGGGTGGCTCACACCTGGAATCCCAGCACTCTGGGAGGCTGAGGCGGGGGGATCACCTGAGGTCACGAGTTTGGGACCAGCCTGACCAGCATGGAGAAACCCTCTCTCTACTAAAAATAAAAAATAAAAAAAAAATTAGCCAGGCATGGTGGCACATGCCTGTAATCCTAGCTACTTGGGAGGCTGAGGCAGGAGAATCACTTGAACCCAGAAGGAAGAGGATGTGGTGAGCCAAGATCACGCCACTGCACTCCAGCCTGGGCAACAAGAGCAAAACTCTGTCTCAAAAAAAAAAAAAAAAAAGAAAAAGAAAAAAGAAAAAATATGTTGCAATGTAGGTCCATAAGGTTACTATGTATTTGTTTCTGGACAGCATATCTGAACCAAGAATAATGGCTTCTTCACTTCTACTTTTCAAAACTCATGTACCTTTCTCCTCTCATCAACTTTAACTCAGAACCATAAACTCAGAAGGGACTCTGAGATATATAGTTTCTAACCTTATTAGGGCTGACAATATAATCAAGCAGAATAAGCTATATACTAACTTTCCCGTTCATGTCAAAAGGTCTTTTTTTTTTTTTTTTTTTTTTTCTCCGCTCTTGTTACCCAGGCCGGAGTGCAATGGCGCCATCTCGGCTCACTGCAACCTCCGCCTCCTGGGTTCAGGGAATTCTCCTGCCTCAGCCTCGCGAGTAGCTGGAATTACAGGCACGCGCCACCATGCCCAGCTAATGTTTTGTATTTTTAGTAGAGACGGGGTTTCACCATGTTGATCAGGATGGTCTCAATCTCTTGACCTCGTGATTTACCCGCCTCGGCCTCCCAAAGTGCTGGGATTACAGGCCTGAGCCACCGCGCCCGGCAAGGTCTGTCTTCTTAAATGCAGTTTGTCCAATTTCCCACCAAGATCGATAGTGGAAAAAAAGGTCAAAATATGACCAGAAACCAATTGAGAATTACGTCTTTCAAGAGCCTTCTATAAGGACTAATGTATCTGAGTTACACACAAGTGATATCCACAAGGAACAAACAAATGTGGAAGACACATTTTTTCTTTTTTTTTCTTCTTTTTCTGGTACCTGGTATGTAGCTAGGAAGACACATTTAAAAATAATAAACGCTGAAGGACACCGGGCATGGAGACTCATGCCTGCAATCTCAGCACTTTGGGAGGCCAAGGCAAAAGGACTGCATGAGCAAAGGGTTCAATACCAGTCTGGGCAACACAGCAAAACACTATCTCTATAAAATACAATTTTTTTTTTTTTTTTTTGGAGGCGGAGTTTCACTCTTGTTATCCCAGGCTGGAGTGCAATGGCGCCATCTCGGCTCACCGCAACCTCCGCCTCCTGGGTTCAGGCAATTCTCCTGCCTCAGCCTCCCGAGTAGCCGGGATTACAGGCACACACCACCATGCCCAGCTAATTTTTTGTATTTTTAGTAGAGACGGGGTTTCACCATGTTGACCAGGATGGTCTCGATCTCTTGACCTCGTGATCCACCCGCCTCGGCCTCCCAGAGTGCTGGGATTACAAGCTTGAGCCACCGCGCCCAGCTAAAATACAATTTTTAATGTTGGGCGCGGTGGCTCACGCCTGTAATCCCAGCACTCTGGGAGGCCGAGGCGGGTGGATCACGAGGTCAAGAGATCGAGACCATCCTGGTCAACGTGGTGAAACCCCGTCTCTAATAAAAATACAAAAAATTAGCTGGGCATGGTGGCACGTGCCTGTAATCCCAGCTACTCGGGAGGCTGAGGCAGGAGAAGTGCCTCAACCCAGGAGGCGGAGGTTTCGGTGAGCCAAGATTGCACCATTGCACTCCAGCCTGGGTAACAAGAGCGAAACTCCGTCTCAAAAAAAAAAAAAATACAATTTTTAATTTTAACAAATGAAGGAAAAAGTAGATAGGGGGAACAGCAAATTCCAGTACCTGCAGTAGCGGACTGGAAAAGAAACTTCAAGAATGACAGTCTCATGATCAAACACTGGAAACAACATGGAAAGTGGGGATCAGGCCAGGCACCGTGGCTCACACCTGTAATCACAGCACTTTGGGAGGCTGAGGTGGGCAGATGACCTGATGTCAGGAGTTCAAGACCAGTATGGTGAAAACCCCTATGTACTAAAAATACAAAAACTAGCTGGGAGTGGCAGTGGGTGCCCATAATCCCAGCTACGTGGGAGGCTGAGGCAGGAGAATCACTTGAACCGGGAAGGTAGAGGTTGCAGTCAGCTGAGACTGTGCCACTGCACTACAGCCTGGGCAGCAGAGCAAGACTCCATCTCAAAAACAAACCAACAAACAAGAAATTAAGAATCAAAAATACAAACAAGAAAGTAGGAATCAAAAATGTTTCATCTAAATTCACACCAAGTGATGCAGGAAAACAAAAAGCCACTTCCTCACCCCTGGGTACAAAAGACACTGCAGTGGAATGAGACAAATATAATTACAAGTATTTAAAGTCCTAAATGACAAAATATACGTAGTATAGCTGAAAGTGTACACAACAGGATATCTATTATCTTAAGTGTTCACATCACAAACATTAACTAGAAATTACAAAGAATCAGTATTAAGGCTGACGCATGTAAAGGCAATACCATATTAATCATAATTCAGAGATTTATCTCCTACTCTTGAGTTTTTACATAAAAAGTAAGTGCTATACCAGGTTTTCCTGCATTCTCTACATAAATAAGGTTTCTTGCCAGTGTTTTCTCACATTTACAAGGTTTTAAGGTGGAACACTCTCCCAGGTCCACTGTATTCGTAGATTCATGCTCCTGCATGTGTCCTCACATGTGCTTGGAGGGAAGCGAGATACCTGAAGGTTTTCCCACACTGCTGGCATTCATACGGTCTCTCTCCACTGTGCGTCCTCACGTGCACCCGAAGGGATGAGGAACAACTGTAGGCTTTCCCACATTCAGTGCATTCATAGGGTTTGACTCCACTGTGTGCTCTCACATGCTTTTGAAAATACTGAGCATGGCTGAAGGCTTTCCCACATTGCTTACATTCATACGGTTTCTCTCCACTGTGGGTTCTCACATGCTCTCGAAGGGAGGAGTGACAGCTGAAGGCTCTTCCACAATGCTTACACTCAAAGGGCTTCTCTCCAGTGTGTGTCCTCATGTGGATTCGAAGGGATGAGGAAAAACTGTAGGCCTTCCCACACTCCTTACATTCATAGGGTTTCAGGCCGCTGTGTGTTTTCACATGTCTTCTGAAGTAGGTGGGACATCCGAAGGCCTTCCCACACTGCTTGCACATGTAGGGCTTCTCTCCACTGTGCATTCTCACATGTGTTCGCAGGGAGGAGGGGTACCTGAAGGCTTTGCCGCATTCCTTACATTCATAGGGCTTCTCTCCGCTGTGCGTTCTCCCGTGTTCTCGGAGAGATGAGTAACACGTGAACGCTTTCCCGCAGTGTTTACACTGACAGGGTTTCTCTCCAGTGTGGGTCCTCACGTGATCTCTAAAGGAAGAGTAACAACTGAATGACTTTCCACAATGTTTACATTCATACGGTTTCTCTCCAGTGTGTGTTCTGACGTGTTCTCGAAAGTACGAGGGACAACTGAAGGCTTTCCCACACTCCTTACATTCATAGGGTTTCTCTCCTGTGTGAGTTCTTATGTGCCGTGTAAGGTAGGAGTAATACATAAAGGTTTTCCCACATACTTTACATTCGTGGGTTTTCTGCCCATGGTGACCTTTCACATGTGCCCTGAATGATGAGGGACAAGTGAAAGCTTGCCCACATTTCTTACATTCATAAGACTTTTTACTGCTAAAACTTTTCACATAGGTCACAGATGCTCTCCATGGGTCCTGGCAATCACAGGGTTGCTCTACAGTCTGAGTTTTCACAGGAGGGCTTTGGCAGGAGAGCCAGCTGCAGGCCTGCCCACATTCCTCACATAGATGCAGCCTCTGCCTGGTATGAGATCTCTGCCGATTCCCAGAGGCTGTGGCACACTTAGTGCACTCAGAGGGTTTAGCTTCGGTAGGGTAATGCCTGTGCACAAGAAGGTTTGTAGTATGGCTCAAAGTCTCTCCACACTGATGACCTTCATTACTTTCACAGAAGATCCCCAGCTGACTTCTGTTCAAAACAGGAAGCACAATACTACTCATTAATGATTCTATGTGATTAATTTATTAATGCTATTTAGTGATTACTTTGATTACCTATTTGCCAATTTCACTGAATGGGACTATTTTTAGCAGTGTCTGCCTTGTTTCTATGGGGAACAAGCTCAATGCTCTAGTTCAGGCGTCCCCAAACTGCGGCCCCCTGAGGCCATTTATCTGGCCGTCCCACCGCACTTCAGGAAGGGGCACCTCTTTCATTGGTGGTCAGTAAGAGGAGCACAGTATGTGGCGGCCCTCCAACGGTCTGAGGGACAGTGAACTGGCCCCCTGTGTAAAAAGTTTGGGGTTGCCTACTCTAGTTAAAGGCCTCAACTGCAGCCGTAAATTTCAATTTTTTTTTAAAGACAGGTCTCACTTGCCCAGGCTGGAGTGCAGTGGCACGATCTAGGCTCACAGCAACCTCTGCCTCCTGGGTTCAAGTCATTATCTTGCCTCAGCCTCCTGAGTAGCTGGGATTACAGGCGTGCCTGGCGAATTTTGGTATTTTTAGTAGAGCCGGGGTTTCACCATGTTGGCCAGGCTGGTCTTGAACTCCTGACCTCAGGTGATCTGCTCACCTTGGTCTCCCTAAGTGCTGGGATTAGAGGCATGAGCCACCGTACCAGGTACAGTGTTTCTTTCTTTTTTTTTCCTTGCTCCTCCAAAGCAGAATATTTATTTATTTACTTATTTATTTTTGAGATGGCATCTTGCCTCTATCACCAGGCTGGAGTGCGGTGGCGCAATCTTGGCTCACTGCAACTTCTGTTTTCCAATTTCAAGCAATTCTCCTGCCTCAGCCTCCCGAGTAGCTGGGACTACAGGCACACACCACCATACCTGGCTCATTTTCTTTGTATTTTTAGTAGAGATGGGTTTCATCTTGGTCAGGATGGTCTCCATCTCTTGACCTCATGATCTGCCTGCCTCGGCCTCCCAAAGTGCTGGGATTACAGGTGTGAGCCACTGCACCTGGCCTTTTTTTTTTTTTTTTGAGACAGAGTCTTGCTCTGTCGCCAGGCTGGAGTGCAGTGGCTTGATCACGGCTCACTGCAACCTCCATCTCATAGGTTCAAGCAATTCCCCTGTCTCAGCCTCCTGAGTAGCTGGGACTACAGGTGTGCACCACCACACCTGGCTAATTTTTTGTATTTTAATAGAAACAGGGTTTCACCATGGCCAGGATGGTCTCAGTCTCCTGATCATGAACCACCCATCTCAGCGGCCTCCCAAAGTGCTGGGATTACAGGCATGAGCCACCGCACCTGGCCCAGTGTTTCTTATACATGAGGTTTCCTGATATTGTTTCCAACTGTTTCAGACATGCAACATCAACATCACATTCACGAAAATACTTTAAAAGTCTTCGCCAGGCACGGTGGCTCACATCTGTAATCCCAGCACTTTGGGAGGCCAAGGCAGATGGACTGTTTCGAGTCCAAGAGTTTGATACCAGCCTAGGCAACATGGGGAAACTCCACTCTCTACAAAAATTAGCCAGGTGCAGTGGTGTGTGCCTGTCTTCCCAGCTGCTCAGGAAGATGAGGCAGGAGGACTGATTCAGCCCAAGAGGCAAAGGTTGCAGTGAGCCAAAATCAGAGCCACTGCACTTCACCCTAGGTGACAGAGGGAGACCCCCATCTCAAAAATAAATACGTAGACTGGGTGCAGTGGTTCACATCTATAATACCAACACTTTGGGAGGCCAAGGTGGGCGGATTACAAGATCAGGAGTTTGAGACCAGCCTGACCAGCATGGTGAAACCTTACTAGCCAGGTGTGGTAGCACACACCTGTAGCCCCAGCTACTCAGGAGGCTGAGGCAAGAGAATCACCTGAATTCGGAAGGCAGGGGTTGCAGTGTGCCAAGATTGCGCCACTGCACTCCATCCAGCCTGGGCAACAGAGTAAGACTGTCTCAAATAAAATAAAAATAAATAAATAAATAAATAAATAAGTAGGCTGGGCACGGTGGCTCACACCTGTAATCCCAGCACTTTGGGAGGCCAAGGCAGGCAGATCACGAGGTGAGGAGATCGAGACCATCCTAGCCAACATGACGAAACCCCATCTATACTAAAATACAAATAATGAGCCAGGCGTGGTGGCACGCACATTTAGTCTTAGCTACTTGGGAGGCTGAGGCAGGGGAATTACTTGAACCCGAGAGGCAAAGGTTGCAGTGAGCCGAGATCACACCACTGCATTCTAGCCTGGTGACAGAGCAAGACTCTGTCTCAAAATAAATTAATTGGCTGGGCGTGGTGGCTCAAGCCTGTAATCCCAGCACTTTAGGAGGCTGAGGAGGGTGGATCATGAGGTCAAGAGATCGAGACCATCCTGGTCAACATGGTGAAACCCCGTCTCTACTAAAAATACAAAAATTAGCTGGGCATGGTGGCGCGTGCCTGTAATCCCAGCTACTCAGGAGGCTGAGGCAGGAGAATTGCCTGAACCCAGGAGGCAGAGGTTGCTGTGAGCCGAGATTGCGCCATTGCACTCCAGCCTGGGTAACAAGAGCGAAACTCCGTCTCAAAAAAAATAAAAATAAAGATTAATTAATTAATTTAAATAAAAGTAATTATCAAAATATATTTTTAAAAAGAGAAAATAAAGAAAAAAAAAGTATCTGAGGGTGTAGAACTCTGTAGCTGTTTATACTTTTCTGCTAATTGCACGTTGGTCTGACACGCTGTGGAGAGGCCCGTTCCTCTGGCTGAGTGCCACTCACCTCAGATGCCTCTCTGGGATTTGGTGCTGATCTCCAATGTTATCAAATCTCCAATTTTGTCCAAAAACAGACCAGGAATCACTTCTTGTGAATTTTGCAATTTCCCCCTCACTGGATGTTTCATTCCTGAAAACCTCTCTCTGAGAACTGGACCCACTGGTTCTAACACGAACGCAATTATCTGGAACAGTCAATCACACAATTCCTTAGGGGAAAATATGTTCACATAAAGGAAAGAAAACAGATCACATATGGATTTCTTTTCATAGAGTAATCCAAAAATGAAACCACAGTTTATGGTTAGGGAGAACAGACATGCTATCAAAGCGAGACTCTGAGGTCCTCATCTGTTTGGGAATTTGGCAATAATAAAAAACACGTGAGCCGGGTGCAGTGGCTCATGCCTGTAATCTCAAAGCATTGGAGGCCAAGGTAGGAGAATCACTTGAGCCCAGGAGCTCAAGATGAGCCTGGGCAACACAGAAAAACAAGGAGGCCTCATCTCCAAACAGTAACAAGAAAAAATTGACATTAGCCAGGTGTGGTGGTGTGCCTGTAATCCCAGATCCTCGGGAGGCCAAGGAGGATCGCTTGAGCCGAAGAGGTCAAAGCTGCAATGGGCCATGATCACACCACTGCACTCTAGCCTGTGTGACAGAGCCAGAGCCTGTCTCAGAAAAAGAATAGGGCCGGGCACGGTGGCTCATGCCTGTAATCTCAGAATTTTGGGAGGCTGAGCAGGGTGGATCACCTGAGGTCAGGAATTCAAAACCAGTCTGACAAACATGGTGAAACTCCATCTCTGCTAAAAATACAAAACAATTAGCAGGGCATGGTGGTGCATGCCTGTTACTCCAGCTACTTGGGAGGGTAAGGCAGAACTGCTTGAACCCAGGAGAATCAGGCTGCAGTGAGCCAAGATTGGGCCATTGCACTCCAGCCTGGGTGACAGAGCAAGATCCTGTCGCAAAAAAAAGAAGACTAGGTGAACACGCCAGCCTGTTTACTAAGAAATATAATAGTTCCAAGGCCGGGAGCAGTGGTTCATGCCTGTAATCCAAGCACTTTGGGAGGCCAAGGCAGGAAGATCACAAGGTCAGGAGTTTGAGACCAGTCTGGCCAACATGGTGAAACCCTGTCTCTACTAAAAATACAAAAAATTAGCCGGGTGTGGTAGTGGACATCTGCAATTGCAGCTACTCGGGAGGCTGAGACAGAAGAATGGCGCGAAACCAGGAGGCGGAGGTTGCAGTGAGCTGAGATCGCACCACTGAACTCCAGCCCAGGCAACAGGGCGAGACTCCACCTCAAAAACGACAAGAAAAAAAGAAATAGAAAAGTTCCGAACTGATGGATACTGATGTTAAGTAAAATATTGTCAGAAAAGCAAAGTACGAAGTTGCGGGGGAAAACACACATGTGCAAATGCTCCTTTTACACGAGCAGAAGCAGAGGCTTTCCCGGGGGAAGGATGGCAGGAAGAGCCACACAGGGCAGCTGAGAGAGGACACACCTCCTCCTTCTCGGAGAAGGGCTTGTGTTTCTAACGCACACTGCCAAACAGAACCTTCTTATCCAGAGCCACTCCTCCCGAGGGCTGCTGCTCTCCTGCTGCTCCCAGGCACGGGCTGACAGGAGTCGGTCCTGCACAGTGCCCGGCTGCCCTCAGGCATGAGCACCGCCCACTCCGGAGAATCACATGATGAGGGAGGGCTGTGAAGGGCATCAAATGTTTCCCCGACACAAGCCAACAATTCCGCCTCCCAGAACAGCAGTGATGACTGCATGTGAGTTTTAACTGCAGCAAAATTACCACGTCAATGTGGATTACTCACAGTGGAACTGTGATTTACTTAATCACAGCGTACTTGGATTTTCAAGGTACAGTCACTCTGTGGGGTGAACCACAAAGCTGCTTTCACTGCCCCAGTAGGACACAGGGTACTTTGCTCACACTTACAAAATGTGGGCAGCCTCAAGACTGGTGACTAAGAAAACCAAAATATCTCCCGGCCACAATGGCTCACGCCTGTGATCCCAGCACTTAGGGAGGCTGAGGTGGGTGGATCACCTCATCAGGAGTTCAAGACCAGCTTGGCCGAGATGGTGAAACCCCATTTCTACTAAAATACAAAAATTAGCCAGGTGTGGTGGCAGGCGCCTATAATCCCAGCTACTCAGGAGACTGGAGCAGGAGAATCACCTGAACCCAGGCAGCAGAGGTTGCAGTGAGCCAAGATTGTGCCACAGCATTCCAGCCTAAAAGACACAGTGAGACTCCACCTCAAAAAAAAAAAAAGGGCTAGGGGCTAGGTGAGGTGGCTCCCGCCTGTAATTCCAGCACTTTGGGAGGCCAAGGCAGGCGGATCATGAGGTCAGGAGATTGAGACCATCCCGGCCAGGGTGATGAAACCCCGTCTTTACTAAAAATACAAAAAATTAGCTGGGTGTGGTGGTGTGGTGGTGTTCGTCTGTGATCCCAACTACTCCGGGGGCTGAGGCAGGGGAATCACTTGAACCCGGGAGGTGGAGGTTGCAGTGAGCCGAGATTGTACCACTGTACTCCAGACTGGCGACAGAGTAAGACTCTGTCTCAAAAAACAAAAGAAAGAAAGAAAGAAAGAAAATGAAAATATCAATAATACACACAACTTTGTTTTCATGGAGAAGCCTTTTAACTCCATATTCCACGGGGGTTGGGATCATGTCTGTTTCTTTCCAACATATTTCTATTTCTGACCTGAAATAAAAAGCAAACCAAGGCATCTGCTCTCCAGGGACGTAGTGAAGGCATGAATCCTTACCCAAGGAGGCCAGGTTCCTGCAGATTTCCAGCATCACATCCCTGTAGAGTCTCCTCTGAGCATGACTCAGCAACGCCCACTCTTCCGGGGTGAATCTCACAGCCACTTCCTCAAAGACCACCGAGTCCTGAAACATCCCACACAGCCCGCTTCAGCGAGGCCCCGTCTCCCCCGTGCGCAGGAGGAGGGGCGAGGCTGACAGGCTGGGGAAGTGGACTCAACTCATGAACCCTGAGCCACACAGACCGTACGTTCTTGTGAGAGGTGAAAAGCAATTTGCAAAACGCGCAACATACTCCGCGTGGGGAGCGCCTTCCAGACAGGAAGCAAAGCGCAATGCCAGCCTCTGGGGAAGACGCACAAATCATTGCGGAGAAAGGGCCGACGTGAGGGCAGGGTAAACACCGGAAAATCTGAAAACATCACGAAGGTCAGGCCAATGGCGCATGTCCGTAATCCCAGTACTTTCAGCGGCTGAGGTGGGAGGACTGCTTAGCGCCAAGAGTTGGAGACCAGCCTGGGAAACACAGCGAATTCCATCTTCACCAAAACATGAAATACAATAAATTAGCAGGGTATGGTGGCACACACCTGTAGTCCCCGCTACTAGAGGGTGAGGAGGGATGATCACTTGACCCCAGGGGTTCAAGGCTGCAGTGTACTGATTGTGCCACTGTACTCCAGCTGGGCAACAGAGACCCAGTCTTAAAAAAATAAAATCAGTCATTCGGGTAACATGGAAATTGAGGTGACTTAGTCAAACTTTAATTTCTTTTCTTTCTTTCTTTTTCTGGCGGGGCGGGGGGAGACGGAGTTTCGCTCTTGTTACCCAGGCTGGAGTGCAATGGCGCCATCTCGGCTCACCGCAACCTCTGCCTCCTGGGTTCAGGCAATTCTCCTGCCTCGGCCTCCTGAGTAGCTGGGATTACAGGCACAAGCCACCATGCCCAGCTAATTTTTTTGTATTTTTAATAGAGACGGGGTTTCACCATGTTGACCAGGATGGTCTCGATCTCTTGACCTCGTGATCCACCCGCCTCGGCCTCCCAAAGTGCTGGGATTACAGGCTTGAGCCACCGCGCCCGGCCCGAACTTTATTATTTCTTATTCAGCTGTAGTATCACCACTTTGGGAGGCCAAGGTGGGAAGATCACTTGAGGCCAGGAGTTCAACACCTGCCTGGGTAAGAGAGCAAAACCCTGTCTCTAAAAAAATTTAAAAAATAAAAAAAATTAAATTAAATTAAATTAATTTTAAAAATAAAAATATTTTAAAAAGCAAGGGGGTCGCGGTGGCTCACGCCTATAATCCCAGCACTTTGGGAAGCTGAGGCAGGTGGATCACGAGGTCAAGAGATTGAGACCATCCTGGTCCACATGGTGAAACCCCGTCTCTACTAAAAATACAAAAATTAGGCCAGTCCCGGTGGCTCAAGCCTGTAATCCCAGCACTTTGGGAGGCCAAGGCGGGTGGATCACAAGGTCAAGAGATGGAGACCATCCTGGTCAACATGGTGAAACCCCGTTTCTACTCAAAATAATACTAAAAATTAGCTGGGCATGGTGGTGCATGCCTGTAATCCCAGCTACTCAGGAGGCTGAGGCAGGAGAATTGCCTGAACCCAGGAGGGGGAGGTTGCGGTGAGCTGAGATCGCGCCATTGCACTCCAGCCTGGGTAACAAGAGCGAAACTCCGTCTCAAAAAAAAAAAGAAAAGAAAAGAAAGGAGATTACTTCCTTGTAATTTAGGATAGTGGCTGGGTGAGGTGGCTCACACCTGTAATCCCAACACTTTCGGAGGCCGAGGCAGATCACTTCTTGAGCTCAGGAGTTCGAGACCAGCCTAGACAATATAGTAAAACCAAAAAAAAAAAAAAAAAAAAAAAAAAAACACCTAAAAAAATTTAGATATTGGATTGGCCTGATGTGGAGGGAGAAGTCTATAATTACGTCCATTACGTTTTTTTTTTTGAGACAGAGTCTCGCTCTGTTGCCAGGCTAGAGTGCAATGGTGGCATCTTGGCTCACTGCAATCTCTGCCTCCCGGGTTCAAGCGATTTACCTGCCTCAGCGTCCCAAGTAGCTGGGACTGCAGGTGTGCACCATCATACCCAGCAAAATTTTTTGTATTTTAGTAGAGATAAGGTTTCACCATTTTGATCAGGATCGTCTAGATTTCCTGACTTTGTGATCTGCCTGCTTCGGCCACCCAAACTGCTGGGATTAGAAGTGTGAGCTACCACACCCGGCCACGCACATGGCTTGGCTATCGTTACATGCTGTTCACTTTAAGATGTTTCAGTTGACTCTGCAACTGTCTTTAAAAAGTTCTATGTGTGGGCCGGGCGCGGTGGCTCAAGCCTGTAATCCCAGCACTTTGGGAGGCCAAGGCGGGTGGATCACGAGGTCGAGAGATCGAGACCATCCTGGTCAACATGGTGAAACCCCGTCTCTACTAAAAATACAAAAAAAAAAAAAAAATTAGCTGGGCATGGTGGCATGTGCCTGTAATCCCAGCTACTCAGGAGGCTGAGGCAGGAGAATTGCCTGAACCCAGGAGGCGGAGGTTGCGGTGAGCCGAGATCGTACCATTGCACTCCAGCCTGGGTAACAAGAGCTAAACTCCATCTCAAAAAAAAAAAAAAAAAGTTCTATATGTGTTCTATTTTACAATAAAATGCTATCAGCAGCTGGGCACGGTGGCTCACAGCTGCAATCCCAGCACTTTGGGAGGCCAAGGTGGGCGGATCACCTAAGGTCAGGAGTTTGAGACCAGCCTGGCCAACATGGAGAAACCTCATCTCTTTATTTAAAAAAATAAAATGAAGATTTAAAAAATTGGGCACGGTGGCTCAAGCCTGTAATCCCAGCACTTTGGGAGGCCAAGGCAGGTGGATCACGAGGTCGAGAGATCGAGACCATCCTGGTCAACATGGTGAAACCCTGTCTCTACTAAAAATACAAAAAATTAGCTGGGCATGGTGGTGCATGCCTGTAATCCCAGCTACTCAGGAGGCTGAGGCAGGAGAATTGCCTGAACCCAGGAGGGGGAGGTTGCGGTGAGCTGAGATCGCGCCATTGCACTCCAGCCTGGGTAACAAGAGCGAAACTCCGTCCCAAAAAAAAATAAATAAATAAATAAATAGCCGGGCGTGGTGGCTCAAGCCTGTTAATCCCAGCACTTTGGGAGGCCGAGGCGGGTGGATCATGAGGTCAACAGATCGAGACCATCCTGGTCAACATGGTGAAACCCCGTCTCTACTAAAAATACAGAAAATTAGGCCGGGCGCAGTGGCTCACGCCTATAATCTCAGCACTTTGGGAGGCCGAGGCAGGTGGATCACGAGGTCAAGAGATCGAGACTATCTTGGTCAACAAGGTGAAACCCCGTCTCTACTAAAAATACAAAAATTAGCCGGGCGTGGTGGTGCACGCCTGTAGTCCCAGCTACTCAGGAGGCTGAGGCAGGAGAATTGCTTGAACCCAGGAGGTGGAGGTTTCAGTGAGCCAAGATCGTGCCATTGCACTCCAGCCTGGGTAACAACAGCGAAACTCCGTCTCAAAAAAAAAAAAAAATACAGAAAATTAGCCGGGCACGGTGGCTCAAGCCTGTAATCCCAGCACTTTGGGAGGCTGAGGCGGGTGGATCACAAGGTCAAGAGATCGAGACCATCCTGGTCAACATGGTGAAAAATTAGCTGGGCATGGTGGCACGTGCCTGTAATCCCAGCTACTCAGGAGGCTGAGAAGAAGAATTGCCTGAACCCAGGAGGGGGAGGTTGCGGTGAGCCGAGATGGCGCCATTGCACTCCAGCCTGGGTAACAAGAGCGAAACTCCGTCCCAAAAAAAATAAATAAATAAATAGCCGGGCGTGGTACCCAGCCGGGCTGGGTAACAACAGCGAAACTCCGTCTCAAAAAAAAAAAAAAAATACAGAAAATTAGCCGGGCACGGTGGCGTATGCCTGTAATCCCAGCTACTCAGGAGGCTGAGGCAGGAGAATTGCCTGAACTCAGGAGGCGGAGGTTGCAGTGAGCTGAGATCGCGCCATTGCACTCCAGCTTGGGTAACAAGAGCGAAAACTCCATCTCAAAAAAAATAAAAAATAAAAAAATTAAAAACTACAAAAACGAGCCAGGCATGGTGGTGTGCACCTGGAGTCCCAGCTACTCAGGAGGCTGAAGTGGGAGGGTCATCTGAGCCCGGGAGGCTGAGGCTGCAGTGAGCCAAGATGACGCCATTGCACTCCAGTATGGGCAATAGAGTGACACCTTGTCTCCCAAAAAAAAAGTATGAACTCATCTATCACAATACCACATTAAAGAAAACTGCCGGATGGGCGCGATGGTTCACGCCTGTAATCCCAGCACTTCGGGAGGCCGAGGCGGGTGGATCATGAGGTCGACAGATCAAGACCATCCTGGTCAACATGGTGAAACCCCGTCTCTACTAAAAATACAAAAAATTAGCTGGGCATGGTGGCGCGTGCCTGTAATCCCAGCTACTCAGGAGGCTGAGGCAGGAGAATTGCTTGAACCCAGGAGGCGGAGGTTGCGGTGAGCCGAGATGGCACCATTGCACTCCAGCCTGGGTAACGAGCAAAACTCTGTCTAAAAAAAAAAAAAAGAACACTGCCAAGTCATCTGAATACATGGCCCCAACAAGCAGGTCATTCTGTCTGCCGTCCAGCCATGCCCTAAAACCTTAGAAGCATGGGGAGAAATCTGCATTACAAAGCAACGTTCATCCAAGGACATATGCATGGCATGAAGCACACGTGGTCTCTCTCCAGGTGCTACACCCGCTTCAACCAAAGTCCCTTAACCTGGGGTCTGACATCAAACGCAGCTGAGGCTGGGCACGGTGGCTCACACCTGGAATCCTGACACTGTGGGAGGCTTAAGGCAGGTGGATCACTTGAGGTCAGGAGTTTGAGACCAACCTGGCCAACATGGTGAAAGCCCAGTCTCTACTAAAAACACAAAAATTAGCCAGGTGTAGTGGTGTGCCCTGTAATCCCAGCTACTCGGGAGGCTGAGGCAGGAGAATCATTTGAACCCGGGAGGCGGAGGTTGCAGTTAACCAAGATCGCGCCACTGCACTCTAGTGAGACCGTCTCAAAAAAAT